CGAGGTGTGCTGGATCCACTGGCCGTGTGCCTGTGGAGCTGCATGTGTACATGGCAGTTGTTCATCAGCAGAAGACCCGGTGGCCTCAACTGCTGAAACCAGCAGGATGCCTTTGCACAGAAGGACTAGTCGGGCTGGTTGCCACCTACCTGGTTTCCAGCCTTAAAGGCCTTCAATCTTGATTGCATATTGATGTTCATTAGGAAAGTGATTGGAAGCAGAAAAGATTTTGGTGTGCAAATTTGGGAAGACAGTTTGCATTTGAAAAATCATCTGCACAGGCTTAGGACAGGCTTGAGGCGCACACAGTTTGTCTGGCTTATCTGTCAGGATTTGAGTACCTAAATTGTCTTCTTTAGGATAGTCCTGGAATGATATTTGAATCCAGACCCTGTTTGCCTGGTTTCTGCCAAACCAGAATTTTACGGAGATGCCTCTGTAAGGCACACAAAAAAGGCTGTTGCTAAAAGCTGCATGTTCCCCAGCAGTTTACTGGGTCTCTCAGAGTGGAAAATGAATTATTTTTTCTACATCTGCTTAATGGCTATAATCTCAACACTGACACAGTATAAATCAGAGAAAAAGTCAGAATATTTTGCAATAGGAAAAACTACTCAATAATTCTGTGGTACACTGAGCTATATGATTTCTTTAATCCACCTAGAAGAACTTGATTGTGCCTTGTCCTGTGGTGTTAGATGAGGACTGGAAATTACAGTTTGCCTTCTTTTCTCACTCAGTGTTGCTATACAGGAATGACTCTGAACTTGGATCTTGTTATTCAGTCATGAAACTAAATATTCATTGTTAGTTCTTTTCTTTTATTTTTTTTTTCATCTGTGCTTCTGCCAGTTACCTTCAGGGCTAATATTTGCATGTAAATTATTCAGTTATAGCAGGAATAAAAAAAAAACAAACCAAAAAACTGTTGAGATTTGTCTGTAGAGATCTCTCCAGCACAACTACCACCAAAGTTCCTGCACTGTGTGGCCAGTTCAGGAGGTGTGGGCAGGTCCCAGCATGGCACCTCACAGGTGGACACTGGTCAACTTTTTGGATGCCTTCAGCTGTGCTCAGGTCTTGCCTGATAAGTACAGGTGACTGATTCAGACAATCTAAATTCTACCCTTGGCCTTCAAGGTCTTAAAATGAAGGTTAATGAGGAAATTAATATAAAGAAATTATATTTTATTGTCCACATGATGTGCCACAATGACCCATAATGTGCCACAATGCAGATGCTGGATAAGTAAGGTAGGAAATCGAACTTTGTAAAAATTTGATGCAATTTGCTTTAAATAAACTTCCAATACTTTTTTCTTCTTTTTTCCCTTGGCTGCAAGCACCATGTGCTGTAAAGGTTTCAGAATTCCAAAACAAGCTACTCTCAAGGGAAGCTCTTCTTCTGAGGTTTGCATTGTTAGTGTTCACATGGTGTGTTTCTGCAAAAAAAGAGAAAGTTTGCTGCTTTTGTTTTGATTTGGCTACTTCAATGACTTCCATCCCTGCTCCAGAGCTGAGATTTTGCTGGCAGGAACTGGTCATTGATATGGAATTGGTCATTGATATGGGTCTGCAGACTTATTTCTGTGTGGTTTTGGCAGTTGCAGGGGCACCCTGACAGCCCTTTTTTAAAGTCCCTTGAAAATGAGCATTTTTTTAAATTACAGAATTGCCTTACGTTCTTTGTAGTATTGAATTTGTGTTAGGATGTCTGTATACATGGAATTTGTTTCTGATTAAGGACAAGTATATTAAAAAGGAAAATATTTTTAAATAGCCTTATATCAGGACATAATAAATCTGCCTTATTTTCCTGTTTTAGGGTAATCCACTTGCAAAGTAAACACGCTTATATGTTGTCCAAATACGCTGGAATGCAGACAGAACCTGCAGCTTGAGAAAAGCTTCTCTCAGCCACTGGTGTGATAAAGGAGCACCTAAGGACTGCAGGCTGGTGTCTTTGAACACGAAGGGAAATGAACAGCTACTGCTTGGTCAGGGCATTTCATTAGCACAGGGCTGTACCGTTCTCATGTCTCATGGAGATATCACTGGCATTATTCCTCTGAACTTGAGATCAGTATCTGCCTCCTTACCAGGAGCAGAGGGAGAGAGAGAACTGGGGTGGTTTAAACAAGTTGCAAGTGCCAGAGGGAACCTCTCTGGGCATTGCAAAGCTGGTGGGTCTCCACTGCCTCCTGCCTGGGGGGGCTGTGAGGCTCCAGCTGCACTCACCTCAATCTCCCATACAAAATAAACCAGTATCTGCTGAAAACCAGGCTGAGCCCAGGCTTGCTTTGAAAATTTCATGCTGGGTTTCATCATATAAGTGGTGTTTTAACGCTGAAAGTTGGGTGTACTGCAAATTCCACATGAAGTTGGAGTTCTAGAGGGAACAGGGCACTAATAAACTGCCTTTTACTGGAGTTCCCCCTGGATACACACAGAGCCTGTATTTGATCTTGACCACTTTTGTTGAAATAAATACTAGCTGTGTCTCATTTAAATGGAGGTTCATTTCACATTAAGACATCTGACTTGATGGAAACTGCACATATTTTTAACATTAATAACAATTAAGGATTAATTGAGGAGTTTATTTTCTTCCTGCCCCACTCCCCTCCCTGACATATTTCAGTTTTTCCCTTTGCATTTCCCATCTTGACTGAAGTGAGTGGATAGACTGAGTTGTGCCATGCAGTGTTGTGTCTATACAAAACCATGTTATGTGGAAGCTGTACCTCGTGGAAATAAAACAGATAATGACCACTTATCTGTGTGTCTGCAGCCCTCATTTCTCCCTCCCTCTCTGCTTTCTTAGGTCCTTGGATCTAGCTGCTACAAGCAGGCCTGTTTTAAACCTCTCTGTAATATAGGATCACACAGAATGCATTTTGTCAGTGGAGTCTTTAAGTGGCCATTAGGACCAAAAAATTGTCCTTTTCTTTGCAGTCACCATGGGCAGGGTAGGACTCGACTTCTTTCATCTGCTAAATCAGGTCCTCTGATAAGAACCACTTTTTTACAGTGATACTGGTTAATGCTTTGCTCTTCTGACTTTGCATTTTCACTTCATGTCATTGCCCCTTCCCCAGTCCTGACTTTTTCTCCTTTCCTTTCATTAATTTTCTTCTAAGTGAATTTCGCATTAAAATGTCACTTCTTATTCAGTAGATGGTGCAGTAATGGAAATGAGTGACAGCACCTGTATGCAACACGTGAAATCCAAATGTCAGGTAGCAATGTGGTGAGAGGCCAGGAATCAAGGGAGGCATGGGGAGGCAGAAGAGGAAGAGAAGGTACTCAGGCCCAAAAGAGTGCATTTTCTCTTGCATTTTCTCTTGACAAGATTTGGACCTGTGGGCATTTTGTTAAGGGTTTAAGATCAGAAGTATTTTTGGTGGAAATTGCAGGGCTGCTTATAGCTAAATAGAAGCCACTTAAGAAGGTTCCTGGGTAAGCCTTATTTAGCTTGAATTATATATGTTAGGACACCTATGTGCACACATATCACTGTAATTGGAGTTTACCTTCAAAGAACTGCAAACAATTTCTGTTCTTCATGGATGGGAAGAACCAAGTTGTTACTTGAAGAGAACAGAAATTCATGTTGAATCATGATGGAAAGAACTGTGTTTCAGAAAAGGTGAAATGTGGATCCTTTTTGAAGTTGCTGTGAAGAAAGAAGCTTGTATCAGTGCTAGTACTGTGTTTCATAACTATGTAAAATATGAGTTGGTGTTGTGCAAGAAAGTAATCCCCTAAAAACCTGGAAATCAAAATAGAAAGTCCTTTGATAGATGAAACTTGGCATCCTTTAAACATTTTTTATCTATAGTGTTGCCTACGGACGCTGCACCAGAGCAAAATGAAGTATTCAATACTATTTTTCCTGTGCAAATACCTCACAGCTTTGACTCCAAAGGAAATTAGAAATTCTCCTTGGTCACCTAAGGACTACATGGTGCTTCACATGAAACATTCTCCACCCGAAAAAAAATTGTAGTTGATATTAGACCTAATTCACACCTTTCCCAAGCAGTTAAATGATAATACCTTTGCTCTGTTTTGGCTGCAGGACTCCCTGCATGGTGGAGGGATATGCTGTGCATCCTGCACCCAGTGTGAGAGCTTGTAGCTGGAATGGCAGCTGCTCTGCAAGGGCCATCCCAGATGCCTCTTGGCTCTCTTGGCAGGCTGAGGGCTGCCTGGGGAGGCAGGAGACACAGGATGTGTCTAAGCCATCCCTCTAGCAGAGGGAGTTTGGGAGCATTCCCTGCCTGCCAGGCTGTGTGTGGGTCAAGGAGCACTTGGAGTGGAGGCTGACAGCGGGTATTGGGGATGCTGGCTTCTGTGGGACAGGGGTGGTGTAGGTGGGAAAAGCAGATGGGGGCTTTCATGCAAGAAAATTGCTTCCTCCTTTCTTTGGGGCTCAGGGCCTTGTGATTTCAGAAGAGAAAGCACTCAGTTATGCAGGGAAATTAGGTCAGCTAGTGTACTTTTGATGGCTCACCTTTGACTGAGATCTTTCCTCCATGTTGCTGATAGAGGCTGGTCTTTTGTCAGTCAACAAATTTTCAGGGTATCATGCTGCCAATTGAATTTTTTTCCCTGTGCACTTTGAGTAAGCCATCCCTGAGCTGACGTAACTGCTGCCACCTTGCTCAGTAACAAAGTTATGGTGGAAAATGTAAAGGTCAGATGACTGCAGGATGATGAAATGCATGCAAATAGAAATGAGAAAATTTCTGGAGTGGTTGTTTGCATTTCATGTCATCAACCTCAGTCTTTAGTGAACTGTTAACACTGGAAAATTATAGTGCAGTAAATAATGGTGGATGTTCCATAGTTTTTGTTTCCATACAGAGTTTGCTTCTGAGATTGTTTACTGGCCTGGCTTGAGTCTGTTAAGTGTACACTCTTTAAAATACATCTTAACTTCTTAATTGTGTTGGTATTATGAACTAACCTTGTGTTATTTCTTTTTTCTCATATAGTTTTCCCTACACAAAATGGAAAGGTTGCTATAGTGACTGGAGGCACTAAAGGAATTGGTTACCAAACTGTGAAGCATTTGGCAAGACTTGGCATGCATGTGATAATAGGTAAAGTCATTATTTTCTTAATATACTTTTTGTTTCATAAAGTCTTTTTTTTTTTTCCTTTTAAGGTGTATTTTCTTTCCAGCATCAGGGAAATGTAGGAAAATATTTTGCTAGTGTTCAGCACAAATAAAGATTGATTTATGTTTTGCTTTGCAAGATCATAAAAATGTAGTGGATGGGATTTTTTCTGTCTGATTTGGAAGAGTTGTACTACTTTAGATAAGAAGCAAACAACAAAAAAACCTTAAAAAGATGAGTATTACAAAAATATTTTGATTCCTTGTTACTGGGGATGGGTCATGCATCAGCATTAGGGTGTACGTGTTCATTAAGAAGAAAACAAATTAAAGAGTTGAAGGAGTATTACTGTATAGTGGGGAGTACAGTGAAGTAGTATTACAGCATAGTTTAGTGGGGGATCTGTGTTATAAGGACACAGGAAGCCCTTGTAACTTCATCCATGTAAAAATTGCATTTACTTCTCAGTTTGTCACTGTAAGAGGCCTCTGTAGGCAAGACAAGAAAATAAATACCTCGAGATTCAGTCGTGTCAGTCTGAGATGGACTGGGCAATTCACCTTCTGGAGCTGCCTGTTTCTCTCTCTGGATAATAAAGTCTTGATAAGGTGACTGAGTTAGAGTGAGACATTTGAAGTTAGGTGAATTTCTCTATGAACTCAAAAACTGTCCTGTGTGCACCATTTCTTCTTTCTACCACAGACACTATTTAGGAGACTTCCTATTTTTTAAAGCTTTCTCTACTACATTTATTTATTTATGCACTAATATGTCTACTAAATCAGAATGTAGTATAATGAGTAGTTATATGTTTAAAATGCTACATTTTCTCATTTCATCTTTCCTTAACTAGATTTTTACCTAAACCACTGTAACTTTTATTTCAGAGAGTCACTGAAGATTGCTGTTTCATTGTGCACTATGAAGCTGGTAATGCCATTTTGTTCAGCTTTTATAGAGATTTTGCTCTCTCTAAGGTTCTGTACACATGTCATTCCCACTCCAAACAATGAATGAGAGCACAGTAGCCGTGTACTTTTAATGTAGTGCAGTCAGTAACATAATGGAGTTGTCCTGGAATCATACAGGTGTAACGTGGAACACCATTTACTCATACATGTTTTAATAGATGTGTCAAACCCAAGCGTCTGCAAAGTGCAAGTAGATGCTTCTTTATGTAGCTAAATGCTAGATGTTACTAATGTAGCTAGATGTAGCTAATGATGTCAGCATTAATATTTCACTAAAATTGCTTTTCATCTTTAACATGGACTGCAAAAATGTACTCAGTGGGAAAACAAAAAGGGTTATTTTCTTCTCTTTGCATTGGGTCACAAAAGCATAGAACATTCTTTTTTTCAAGATTTATTTTGTATCACTTAAAGTTTAGGGTATTCCATGTAACAAAATTCAGTGGAAGAGTTTTGGGAATGGGAGGGCGAGGTTTAGGTGCAGAATCTGTAAATAAGCTGAATTTTTTTCAACTCACAGTCAGTCCCTCATAAATCTCATTCACTCACCCTCACCCCAATAGTCTCATAAGCACCAAGATGTGTGAGCTCATGTGATCTTGTGAGCATCACCCAAGTATGGAAAAAGGTCGTGCCAGCTGACAGTGCTTATCCTGTCCCTGTGGTTCTTCTTGATCAGAAGTGACAGGCTAGTTCATGGTCAGATCTGCCGCAGAAGTTGTGCAGTCTCCTTCTATGGACGTATTAACGATTGATCTGGATGTGCCCTGTGTTACTTGTTCTGGGTGAAGCTGCGTTAGCAGAGGGATTGGACAGAGCTCCCTGCCAGCCACTACTATTCAGTGATCTTTTATATTGCTCAGCAGCTCTCAGTACATTTTTCCTGGTCTGCAATATATAGGCTCTGTCCATAGCCTATTTTTAGGCTGGGCTAACAGGAAAAGTCATTGTATGGGTATTATGCTGTAACCTGGAGATGTTATCCTTCTGATGGCAGAGTGCATGGTCATCTGCTGCCAGTCTTCTGTGCTGTGGCCTTGACATGCACGGCACAGGAACAGTGTCCTCAAAACATGTCTTTTGTTTGTCAATAAAGGGCATTCTTTTAACACTTTGCTCTTTCTTTTGGTGCCTACAAACACACACACTTCCATTCACTCCACAATTGTATCAATCTTTCTATTTTCATTACAAATCCCTACAAATGTGAATTAATGAAATTAATTATAGGAAGCATTCGATGAGTAAGTCTTCCAGCTGATTCATTTCTTCCAAGCAAACTCTGACCTAAACACTGAGCCCTATGAGTCACAGCCATCTTCTTTGCCTGTGAAACTCTTCAGACCAAAGCAGTCCTGTAAGTGGAATGGATAGTCCCAGGCGCTTTTTCAGCTGCAAGATCACAACAGTCTCAAAAGCACATTAAATGCAATGACCTTCCATCCTTGCTCATAACTGTTGGGCCCAAGTGTCCAGAGTATGTTTGATATATCTGCTGGCACATTGACATGCATTAGCACATTCTGCTTTAGGCCACACAAGGCTCAAATAAGAGAGCAAGCATGCTCAAGCTTTCTCCTCTAGAAATGTTTTCACCCTATGTTTGTATATGAACATGAAATTCTTTGAAAAAGGTGTGGATCTTAAGTGAATTTGGGCTTGCAAAAGAGACTCACATGTAGCTTGCAGTCAATCATGCTCAATCACTGAATGCTTGTTTGCCATTATAGGAGCTGTAGCAATAAAGGATGATATCTCTGCAGCAGGCAAATGAGTCAAGCCTGAATGTCTGATGTGAAAAATGATTCACCATTTGTGATGGATGTGATTTTGATTCAGTTTGACATTTTAGAGGAGTAAATATTTGAAACAACCTACTTTTGAATCCAATCCACCAATGGAATGAGGAAAGCAAATAAGTAGAAAGTATGTTACCTTGTGCAGCTTGAGTAGGCACAGTATGAAAAGGCAGTATGTTCACTCAGAGCCTTTACAGCAAGTGGTTTCATAGTTCTTTTAAACCTCCTTCCTATCCAGTCCCAGCACTGGTGCACAAGACTCCATCCTCCACTGATGGTTTCCCTCTGCAGGTGCTGCTCACCCTGCCCTCAGCCTCTCCCTGAGAAAGAGGTTTTGACGAATGCTAAAATGATGAAAGTAATTTTCTGTATGTTTGTTTGATAGATTTCATTGAGGCTTTCTGCTAGGCTGCTTTTCCTGGTAGCTTTGCTCACAGTCAGCAGGGCTTTTACTTCAGGAAAATCTCATGGCAAGCACCAAACCCCTGGTGGGGAAAACTGATGGCTGTGATGAATCTTCACAATCAGGCCATACAGGGAACTCCTGCTCTCTGCTGTGGAATCTACTAGTTGATCAATATACTTGCAATTTAATTTTCACAGAGAGAAAGCAAATGACACATTGTATTCAGCAGTGACTGATATTGAAGGTAGTGTTTTGTATGCGCTTAAAAATAAATATACTCTTCACAGTGAGGACATTGGAAATCAGGATATCCTGGACATTTCTATGACCTCCCCCAGCCCAGGGCATAAAACCCAGTACATTCAGCTCTGGTTCAAGGTATTTGCCACAGTTTTGTGAGTCTCAATTTAGAGTGATAAAAAGGCATAAACTATTCATATTCCTTCCATCCTTCTTCACAGATGTTTAATTTTATAAGGATTCTGTGTGTGCATGTTAAAATTGTTGACTCAAAAAAGGAAAACCTCAATTTGATTTCTTTTTTTTTTCCCTCAGTGCATTAATAAAAGAAGGCTGAGATAATGTGTGATAATATATAATGTAGAAGTTTTGATAATTGTATCTGAAAACGGTGAATGAAAATCAAAAGATTTGCACTTTTACAATGTTACACTTATGCTTGGTATAAAACACCAGGTTCAGGGCAGTGTAATCAATCTCTAATGTCTGAGTATATCCATGTCATAAGTTTCTAAGACAGGCTCACACTTTGAAGGAAGCAATCTCATTATACTTATATATATGTATATATATTCAGGTGACTTATTTGAGCTTTGCAATTTTGGCTTGGGCCCTGCAATTTTGGCATAAATAAATGTACTTCCATCACCAGATTCAGCACTTCTGTGTGACCTCGGTAAGCTCTGCAGGAGACTAAGCAAGAGATATTTCTGTCACCTCTTTCATTCCCATTAGTTTCCTATTTTCAAGCTGGATTCTCTGCACCATGAATCAGAATTCTTATATTGCATAATACTACAAAGTGACTTTCAAGGGATAATTAAATCCTATCAAGATGGTGCAATAGTTCATTTTCAAAGACAGGTTGATTTAATTTCAATTACTGAAAATTTCTATGGGTTACTTTAATAGTCTTTTTTAATATACATAGATCTATGAGATGCTTGGGTTATATATTTTTTCTTGAAAAGTACTTATCTTCCTAATTTCAGCCAGGTTTTTTAAGTCTGAATGAGTTCTAGAGCTAGTCAGGAAGTGTCAAAATTTTACCAACCTATAAAAAGTGGGTGATGATTTATTTTTTCTGTATGAGCATAAAGATTCCTTTATAATTGTAATTCAGTTCAGGTTTTATCATATCAGTGCACTGTAATCAGGGTTATAAAAATCTCTGTTTACAGTACTGTTAATTATGCACCATACATGTGCACACAACCACACACAGTCTTCCAAATATGTATGAATTTTGTCAAACAGTTTAGTCCCTAACTTCTGTTGGAAGACTGTCACATCTGTGCTTGTTTTAACACATGGTGCTTTCAACAAATAATTTTATAGGAGGGACACATAATGAACTGCAAGTGCTTCAAACTGTGTCAAACTGTTCAGGGTGATAAAGACCAAGGATGTGTGAAGAATTGCAGGAAGAACGTAAGAAGCTGAGTGTTAAAAGGCATGTACAGCTCAATGTAGATCAATATGGAGTGATGGACATGGGGAAAAATTTTAATGCCAAAAGATGTGATGGATTCTCTGTCAAGCATCACCACTTCGGAATTAGATCTT